ACACACACACACACACACACACACACACACACACACACACACACACACACACACACAGAGAGAGAGAGAGAGAGAGAGAGAGAGAGAGAGAGAGAGAGAGAGAGAGAGAGACTTTTCACCAAATAAAGCAAGCTAGTTTGCAAAATGAAGAGATGAGAAATGTTTGTGCCCAGAACAATCAGATGCCTCTTATAACTTCATGGAACACTGCTATTAAATGTGGTCTGATTTCTCCATTAATCTAGATAATTTGGCTGAGCAGTTCATAGACCATTGTTGATACTTGTTAATCTTTTCACCTCCAGCCTCACTCAGAACTGCTGTCCTTCTTGACCTCTCTCCTTCCAGCTCAAATACTACAAAATGTAGTCCTACTTAGTGCTGCACTGCACCCCCCTTGTACAGATTCCTCCCTGCTTCCTTTGAACTAAACATGCATTTTTGTTCAGAGGATCTCTTGCAGAAGTCAGCGGTGTGATGTTCATCAACTTTCTGAGTCATTGAACAGAATGTTAGTATTAATTATTTATTCTCATCGAGATGTGAAGGAGCTTTTCTTGTTAAAGCCCATCTAACGCTGTACCTGGACCAGTGTTTTTCTCATAACCTTTTCATTAGGAACTTTCCACTTCTATAGTCTATGTCCCATAGTGTAATGTATAAGCTTCCATAACTGAGATGCAAACACAGAATAAAAGATATCTAAATGCAAGTGAAAGAGCAGCACATACCCTGCATTTTTTTTCAAATTTATGAACAACAGCAGAACAGTAGTATGTTCTTTGAAGCGATTTATTTTTTTTATTACTTTAAAAATATTTATCTTAGAAAATTCTTCTATGAAGGTGGTATTCTATATAGCAGTGATGTTGGCAAATCTTTGGGTGTGACTCCCATGTCTGGGTCTGAGTCATTGGTTCCAAGACCCAAGACCAAGGCTGAGTCTTTAGGTCCAAGTCCCAAGTCTGGAGTCCAAGTCTCAAGTCCTTTTTAAAAATCCTTTTTCCCCATTAAAAAAGGGATGAGGGGTGAGTGAAATCTGTGTTGGGTGTGTATTGGGAGGACTGAGGCTTGTGAATCACAGAGTACAACTTTCTGAGCCAATCCCCCAGCCTAACCACCTCAGCCAATGAGGAGATGAAAGTGCAGGAAAAACACGTAACAGTGGTATACATTCCTTCCTGCCCCCTCCACATGTCTAGCCCACCCTCATGCTCGTAGTTGTGGTCAACAGGGGGGAAAAACACTGGATCTACTGCGCCTTCCCTCACACCTTCACCTCCTTGAAAACCTTTCGTCCCCATCACTAGCTTCTCTTCTGCCATTTGCTGCTGTTTGCCTGGCTCTCCTGCAGGTGTCCATTAAAAGAATAGGGACTTGAAAACGCAACTCGGAAAAATGGATTCAAGTCATGAGTCAGGTCTGAGCTATTTAAAAAAAGGTTGAGTTGCCAGTGCAACTCAAGTGAGACTTGACAGCGAGTTGTGAGTCCCGATTCGTGCTTTGAAATAGAAATATAGAGAGTCCTAGTATTGCCACCTAAGAAATCCTTGAAGCAGAGAAGTCAGGGAGAGGACCTGGAGCCCAGGGCCTCTCCCACTAAAGCACTAGTCATCCAGAGGTACCAGAATAATCATTTAGGCGATGTCTTTGTATTGTGACTATTTTAATTTTCCATTGCCTGTTCTGGGTACAGAATGTCAGCACACTCTAGGGATATTTTCCTTTGTGTGGTTAGTATCTAAGTCTACTGAGCCAAGCACATGGAAACTAAGAGTGAGTCTTAGATCATGTCTTCATCTCTTCTGAGATTGTGCATTTCCAGGGGGGGATATGGCTACTGGTAAATCTTTACTTTGAGAAAACTATTCAAAGTGTAACAGAAGCTGGGGGCAGTATTTCATCATATGGGAGATACGAAGTAGTAAGTTACAGATTTGAAGAAAGTGCCAGATGTGTATCATTGCATGGTTATACATATTCAAGATTAAGATATACAAGTCATATAATTAACCTCTGTATGTTAAAGTGTTATGAGCTGAACTTTGTGGGTTTCAACTGTTCCCTGAAGTATAGGAATAGAATATTCCTGTGCTTCAAGGAACTGAAATGTGCTGAATTGTTTGAATAAAAACTTGCCAGTAATATTTAAGTTTCAGAGGCAAGCTATGTTGAGACTGTTACCATAAAATATGTGGTGCATATTCTGACTGTAATTGAAGGTATTTGAGATTTGACAATATGTTCTCACTTGAATCTGTATATTAAAGTAATTAGAAGGATTTTTTTGAATCGGTTATTTATTCTGAATTAATTTTTAGCACTTGATAATTATACGTGTGTTACAGTTAGTAAGGAAACAACACTGCATTTTCTGCAAATGTTATTTCTCTTTTCAGATATTATTCTGAACTGATATACCTATACATTTAACATGTTGTAGACTGTTTTTGTGGGGATGTGGTGGCGCTGCAGGTTAAACTGCAGAAGCCTCTGTGCTGTAAGGTCTGTAGATCTTCAGCTGCAAGATCGAATCCATGTGACGGAGTGAGCTCCCGTCGCTTGTCCCAGCTCCCACCAACCTAGCAGTTCGAAAGCATGCAAATGTGAGTAGATAAATAGGGACCACCTTGGTGGGAAGGTAACAGTGTTCTGTGTCTAAGTCGCACTGGCCACATGACCACGGAAACACTCTTCAGACAAACTCTGGCTCTGTGGCTTGGAAATGGAGATGAGCACCACCCCTAGAGTCGAACACGACTGGACAAAAATTGTCAAGGGGAACCTTTACCTTTACCTAGATTATTTTTACAACAATAAAAACATGAGTTTTTCTTGAGGAAAACTTGTATCACTCTTGTCCCTCTGTTTATAATACACGAGAAAAGGGCAGAAGAACAGGGAGTAATGCTGGGGTCTTGGTGCAGTAAATAGACTGAAATACAATACAGATGGCTGCAGTGACTTTGCATTGAGCCTATCTGGTTTTTATTTCCTTCTTGGAACAGATGGGCTTACAGTCTTCCAGAAAAATGTTTTGTACTCTATTAATTTTAGAGCCGTAGATCAAAGCCCTTATCACCCTACCTTAGTTACTTTCCCAGAAGGAATACTTACTTTTATTCTGCACTCTTTCCTTCCTCAGGTTCTCATCTGGAACCTGGATATTGGAGAACCAGTGAAGATGATTGACTGCCACTCAGATGTAATTCTTTGCATGTCCTTCAACACAGATGGCAGTTTACTCTCTACCACTTGCAAAGATAAGAAGCTCCGTGTCATTGAGCCACGTTCTGGCAAAGTCCTCCAGGTTTGGGGTGTACTCTAAAAGACGGGAAATCTAAGATCTCATATCTTGATGGTTTTTAAACTTTAAAGCAACTGCAGAAGAAGAGGAATGTCCAGGTTTGATTAGAACACTAGCCCTGAGTGACAGAGTCTCTAATAATTTCCTGTTACAGCATTTTATTTTAATTTCTTTCCCAAAAGTTGTTTTACAACTTTTTCTTTCTTTCTTTGTTTTTGGCATTGGTAGGAATAAGTAAAATAAGTAGAGGGCATAGGGGAGAAAGGGCTCCTTCCAGGCTCCCCTACTTCCTCCCTGTTACCCCAAGGTATATTCAGAATTAAGAAGGAAAGTAGGATCACAATCTCTTCCATCCCATCAGCTCTGAAATGTTAATCATGGTTACAAGCTGCAGTGCTTCATTTATTTGGTGCAAAAATTGGCATGGAATCGAAGAGCAGGTTGATCTATGTTGCCTCTGTTTTGGCTTATAAGAATGCACAGATCACTATCAGGCAAGAAGTTTCTGTATGTAGTCTTATTTTATGAGCATGTTCCTATAGAATGAGCATTCATAGAAGAAGCACAAACCATATCCAGACCTTCTTGACAGCTTAGTAAATCCCCATCTCTTAAATATATCAATGCAGAAATCTAAATTTTGCCTTTGTTATTGTTCTGTGCTGTCAAGTTGGAAATCAAAACCTGCTCTTCAGAGTCCTAGTCTGTCACTCTATACACTACACCACACTGAGAATCCCAGTGTTGCTTTTAGGGAAGCAAAATGTCAGCTGGGAGAATAGAATGAATACACTGTGTACCGTAGTCAAAGTGAGAGCGTTTGATAGCCATTTAAATCTTTTATTGATTAAAAACTATCTTAGGTAAAATAACTTTAAGTTCTGGGAATTTTGAATGTCATATTTGGAAGAACTTGGCTTTGATAAATGTTCTGTGTCAATTTGAAGACTGTGAAAGAAGAGGGAAGCTGGGTGGCAGCTGGATGATGACTCTGAATTGTTTTTCTAGGAAGCAAGCTGTAAGAATCACCGTGTGAACCGCGTTGTCTTCTTAGGGAACATGAAGAGGCTTCTGACAACAGGTGTTTCCAGGTGGAACACAAGGCAGATTGCTCTCTGGGACCAGGTTAGAAAATAATTGTTTTCTATTATGTGGGTGCATGAATGTACATCGGAAAAACTAGAAGCACCACAAACAAACTTTATTTTGTGACTTCAGTGGAACTCAAAGGATCCTGATTTTTTCTCTACAAGAAAAGGGTGAGCAGCTTCCTAGCCTGGAAAACACCCCTTTGCCTTGGGCAAGCTTGGATTATGTTGTTTCCCTGGCATTCTGATCATTTTCACATTTGCTACGTGCTTTTGAGCCTTTCACCTAGGAAATAGAATATGTCTGGAGAATTTCTCTTGTTGAGACCCAAGAAATTGCATTGGGACAAATTGGTTTTATATTACACAAACATAGCAAGGATTGCCACAATCCACAATTTCCTTGCCTCCTTGCTTCCAGTAGACATCTCATACCATGACATTTAGAAACCGACACAGAGTGATGGAAAATGCTTAGAACTGGGACTTTGACAGCACACATACAAAAGAGCTTCCCACATGTCGTGAGCTCCAGTGAATCTTTATTTGGAGTGGGAAGGTGCTATACATCCCTGTGTGATGTGAACTCTGGATTAGATTTTCAAAAACTGTCAATATGCAAGGTGCACATTTTCAGCTTCTGGAGGACAGAGGTGGGTAGGTTGAATCTAGGTCATGGTACTGGCAGAATGATATTTAAGTCTCTTAACTGCATCAAGAAAATCTCTGACTTGACAAATAGTGTCTGAGGATGAGATTTTGTACTAGCAAAATAGCATGGAGGCAAAGTTAACATTCCCTACAATACTGTCCCATTTGTCATCAATTATTGTTTTAAAATTGGTTAGGCATCTTTCAGTCTCGAAAGACTATGGTAACGTGCTCTGTATGGGGGACTTGGAACAGCGTCTAGTGTGGCTGAGGAGGCCAATTCGAGAGTGACAATCTCTTTCACACTGAAGACAAATCCAATCTGTTCCCTGTCCAGCTCCCTGGTTTTGCTGCTTTTGTGACTTCCTCTTTGCCTCGGCCTGCTGGACAAGGGTCTCTTCAAATTGGGAGAGGCCGTGATGCAACGCCTGCCTCCAGGCTGAACGCTCAGATGTCAGGGTTTCCCATCTGTTGAGGTCTATTCCTAAGGCCTTCAGATCCCGCTTGCAGATATCCTTGTATCGCAGCTGTGGTCTCCCTCTGGGGCAATTTCCCTGCACTAATTCTCCATACAGGAGATCCTTTGGAATCCAACCATCAGCCATTCTCACGACATGCCCAAGCCAACGTAGACGTTGCTGTTTCAGTAATGTATACATGCTGAAAATTCCAGCTCGTTCTAGGACTACTCTGTTTGGAACTTTGTCCTGCCAGGTGATACCGAAAATCCGTCGGAGGCAACACATATGGAAGGTGTTCAGCTTCCTCTCCTGCCGTGCACAAAGGTTCCAGGACTCACTGCAATGCAGGAGTGTGCTCAGGACACAGGCTCTATAGA